GGGTCTCTCACCTTTATAAGTTCTGCTCCATTTGCATATTGGAGTTCATTGTCTAATTACAGCTCCAGCCCATGCAGTCCCATCCTGCTTGTTTTTCTCTCTCCAGCCCACAGTGTTTGTGCTCTTGGGCCTGAGATTTGGATCATTTGTCCTAGGTGCCCAGCTAGAGAAGGAATTGTTTTGTCTCCCTGCTCTGTGCACAGAGCTCACCATCCCCTCATATGAAGCTCAGACCCACACACTAAAGCAGCACAGAACCTGAAAAATATAAAAGCTCAAACCTGAGGCATCAGCTCAAGGTACCTCAGGGAGCTCTGCCCCCAGGTTCCTCTGTAAATTCCACTTCTCACTGAGGGCAGCTGAAGAAGCTTTACAACTCCTGGAGAGTTTGGGCTGCCTGAGGAGTGGCAATTGAGCAGCTGTGGGAACTTTATCAAAGCTGTTTGGTTCATCTGGATGTCATCTCCTCCCCTTGTGTTAGCTCAAGTGCAGGAGATGGGATTTGCCACTCAGGGCAAAACTAAGGAGATGCCTGGGCAGGGGGCTGAGACCTGCTCTTCCCCCAGGTGTTCCTCAGCACCAGGAGCCACACGTGGGTTGCCAGCCGGGTCTCAGATCAGGGCTTCCCCGTGGACATGGTCAGCACCACCCGCTTCAACTCCCTCCTGGACTGGCTTCTCCCATCAGCCCTCACAAGGAGGATCAAGTTTCGGAAGTTCAATTCATGGTTCAACCACACAAACTATGGCTTGGCCTCCAGCAAAAGGTGGATTTTCCTGGTTGTTTTGTTGGGTGCTCAGGGGGTCTTTATAATATGAAATGCTTAATTCTCAGTTTTGGGGGATATTTTTGGAATAGCAAACCATCAGAGGGGAATTGTGACCATAAAAAAAGTCATTTTAGGTCCCTCCCAGATATTAACACCGCTCTTTTCTCTGCTGCAAGCTCCAAATTTAAGATAATTATCAATGAAGAGCTGCCCTTCTGCCTCCTCTCTGGGGCCGTGGTGTTGAAGCCCAACGTGAAGGAGTTCACTGAAAGCTCTGCTGTTTTTGAAGACGGCACAACCGAAGGAAACATTGACGTGGTGCTCTTTGCCACGGGCTACAACTTCTCCTTCCCCTTCCTGGAGGAGTCTGTTCGGGGCTCCATCCACGACAACCGCTCCCTCTACAACTGCATCTTCCCTCCCCAGCTGGAGCAGCCCACGCTGGCCATCATTGGCCTGATCCAGCTGACAGGCTCCATCATGGTGGGCTCAGAGATGCAGGCTCGCTGGGTCACAGGGGTCTTTGCAGGTAGGACATGGGGGAGATCTTCTGGCTGGGAGGTTTGGGGCAGCCTGAGCTGCTGCCCACACAGCTTAGGGCTTATTTCAGCTCTGTGGGTAGCCTCTGTCCACCAGCTGCATCCCACACCTCAGGAAAGGTGCCGGGATCTTGGGAAGGAGCTGAACATGTTCTCTTAAGGTGCTGCTGGAGCTATTATATAATTATGAATACTGTCTAGATTTACCCCTGCTAGAATCAAAAATTCTGACATAATTGAGACTTCAAGCTTTCAGAAAGTGAAAAGATACTATAAAGCTCTAACCCAGCTTCAAATCAGTTAATGAGACCCCTTCTAGACTTAACAAATTGGCTCATATAAAGTACAGGTTGAAACTAAATTGAGGCATTTGGAAAACATTTTTCTTTGCATCCGTGGTATCTCCTCCTGATACAAAATAGAAAAGACCAAGAGTTAAAATCCCAAGATTCTTATTTATTTTGATTGCATGGGCAGTTGCTGGTTTCTCTGTTCTCAGGCTGGAACAAGCTACCTCCCCCCAGCAGGATGATGGCTGAGGTTTTGAAGAGGAAGCCAGCAGTCAAAAGGTGTGTGATGCTCCTGCAGTCAGGATGAGACGGGTTCTGTGTGCCAGGACAAGCTCAGGGAAGGGGGGGACTTGATGGCAGACATGGCAGGGACCTGCTCAGCCCACCCAACTCTGCATTTATTACCTCACCACCCACAGTGGGCTGGGAAAATGCTCCCGTGGCTCCTTTATGGAACAAGACACCAACTCCCCTTCCCTCCCTTCCCATCTCCTTTGCTCCCTCCCTTTCTCTCCAGTTCTTTGGAGATCCCCCTCTGCCAGGCTTCCCAGCCATCCTTGTTCCCAGCACATCCAGATGAAGGTTTGGTTTCCTCCAGACTGAGGGTGCCATCTCGTGGCTTCTCCCTCCCAAATCCAGGCACTGGGGAGAGCTGGGTTCCATCCAGATTCCATCCAGAACCCCCCTGGAGCCGGGAAGTGTGGGTGGGGGACAGTTTGTGTCACTTTTTGGCGGGTCAAGGTGAGTGTCCCACCAGGCTGCTGTGTGTGTGGGAGCTGGCAGCCTGCCTCCTTGGTACTGGGATTGATTTTACAGGAGGTGGAGATGTGTCCGCAGGGATGTGGGATGGATGATAATGGGGCAAGGAGGAAACGTCGGGGTTGGGTTTGCCAGCAGGGCAGGGCTGGCTCATGGGGACACTGGGAAAAAGCTGGGACGAAACAGAGCCACAGGGGTTATAAGCAGGAGCCCAATGACTGCACCACGGTGCTGTTACACAGAAATATGGAAGCCTGAGATGCACAGGGAACAAACTTGAGGCTGTCCCAAACTTTCCTCAAGCAGATCAGCACGTCCTTCCTTCTGTGAGGGAGATAAGGTTTCAAGCAGAGAAATCTTGGAGGTCCCTCCCAGCATGGGAAGCTTTCTGCATTTCCCAGATTTCCCCTTGGCATGCTTATCTCTGAAAGTCTGTATCTCTGCTTCTCAAAATCAGCCAAATCCACACCCCTGAACCTCCGGGAAGGACACAGCAGGCTGCTTGTGGCATTACAATGATGCTACTGTTAAGTTAGAGCTGATTTTGAAGCCACAACTATGCTGCAGAGACAAAACAGGTTTCTGCTTATCCCGTGCCCCGGGGAACTGCTGGCATCAACCCCATAGAGGCTCCTTCAGTGTTTTTGGCTTTGTTTGGGGCTCAGAGGGCTCTGCCCCAGAGCCTGGGGCTCACCTGGTGTCTGAGCCTGAGGCTTTTGGTGCCCATGGAGCTGGGAAATGAGACAGGATGATGCCACCTGACTTTTATTTCTCACATCCCATCGAAGGAACCCATCTGAGAGGGAGAACCTGAAGATGAGTTTCATCAGCTACGTGGACAAAATCGCTGCGTGCGCCGGCGTCAAACCCAGCGTGCTGAGGCTGCTGCTGACAGACCCCAAGCTGGGCCTGGCCATCTTCTTTGGGCCCTGCTCCCCCTACCAGTACCGGCTGCAGGGCAGGGGCAGCTGGAGTGGGGCCAGAGCTGCCATCCTCACCCAGTGGCAGCGCTCCCTGCGGCCCCTAAGGACCCGAGTGCTGCGTGGCAGCTCCAGCAGCTCCTGGAGATGGAGCTGGATGTGTCTCCTGGCTCTGCCAGCAGCTCTCACTGCAGCTTGGCTCTGCTCCAAATACCCCCAGGCAGGCTGGAGCCCCCGGCTGTAGGAGGAACATGGAGAGATGCGATGCCAGGTGATGTGGGTACGGTGCAAAGCTTGCCAGTGTCATGGTTCGGAAAGCCAGGAGTCTGCTAAGGAAGGCAGGAGCCTCCCCTGGAATGGAGAATGTAAACCCTCCCCATCCCTCTGAATTGCTATAAAATTTAAATTAAGGGGCTCTCAGGTAAAAAATATGGGAGCAGGAAATAACAGTTCTTTAATAGGGAAGAAAAATGAAAGGATAAAATAAACAATGCAGTACACTAGAACAACACTGACAGAGTCAGAACCCAGCCTGACACCCTGTGGGTCAGGGTGTTGGTGGCAGTCCCATTGGAATTGTGGCTCAGCTCTCCTGCAGTGTCAGGGGTGGTTCTGCTGGAGCAGGGATCCTGTAGGGAAAGATGTATTCTTCCTCTGAAGATCCAGTGGAAGGAGAGGCAGCTGCTGTTCCTCTGGGGAATCCAGTGGAGAAGTCGTGCTGGTGTCTCAAAAACCTCTGGATTATATCTGGGTAGCAATGTTTGAAACCTCAGATTGTATCCAGGGAGGAATGTTTGAAACCTCAGATTGTATCCAGGTAGGAATGTTTGAAACCTCAGATTGTATCCAGGTAGGAATGCTTGGCTCCTCCCTCTGGGCTCACATCTCCCAATGGGATGCTGCAGTTCTTATCAACCATGCAGTGACATTCAATAGCTGTTATCAGCAATGTCCCCTCCCTAGGGAGGAGTGATTGTAATCACTCAGAGAGAGAGATAAGGCAAACTGCCCACTTGACAAAGGTAATCTGCCATACAGATGGGAATGGAAAACATCTTGCATTGCAACAGCCAGGTGCTGCCAGAGGGATGGAGGTGGCACCAGCAGGAGCCTGGGGCTGTCTGTGTCTGTCACTATAGGACATGGAACA